CTATGTTTCAAACCTCCCACGGCCATGGAGGTAGCCTGTATGTTTCTCCAGGATGCCTTTTGGTATATACAGCCATATACTTAGTCTCAACTCAAGGCCTCTGACTTATCTCCCCTTTCTGGAAAAAAGGATAAAAAAGTGCTAAGGGTCAAAGCCCACCTCTCCTCTTCCTGTTACTGTCCCTCATCAGCCAGACTGCAATCAGTACCTCGAGGTTTCTTGGCTAGGCCTCCTCCTATCAGGACAATGAGGGCAGTTCCAATCATTCTTCACATCACCTTCTCTTTCACCCATGTTAGGGATTCTGCCCCCAGGAAGGAGGTTCTTGGCAGGGATGATTTCCTAAAAGAACTGAAGATTGCCCAAGGCAGGCAACTCAAAATGTGCAGAGCTCCTGGGTCTCTACCCACATTTCACTTGTGCTCTGAAGGATGCTCTCTGAAGGTGAAGATAAGGCCCAAGGGATTGCTCCCGGCTGTCCGCGAGGATCACACATCTTGTCCTTCTGCTGGTGGGCTGTTTTAGAGCCTGTCTTCCAATCCATCCCTCTTCTGTTGGGTAAAGTGGAATCCCTCCTTCATCCCCATTAGCTCCATCGACAATGAGGATTCCAGGTTGAACTCATTCCCAATGAAAATGGTCAAAAGGCCCTGCAAGCCAGAAGATTATCTCCAGACCTCCACAGTGCAAGAAGTGGTTGCATCGGTGCTAGCCCACACTGAGCCAAACCCCAGATTCTGGCACAGAGTCCTGAGGGAGAGGGGGAGGGTGGATGGTAGCCGGATCCAGGCTCAAAGAACCATGGATCCTGGAAAGACTCTGGAGTGGGTGGGTCCACCACACCAGCCCTCCCCATCCAAAAGGTGAACTGCTCCACAGTTCATTCCATTCTCGACGTTCCCATCTAGCTTTCCCAGGATCTGGTTCCTCTGCCCCCACTGGCTCTTTGGCTTCGCTGTGGCATCAGTAATGATGATGGTAATTCTCTGGTGGTAATTCTCTGGGTTTGTTGGCTGCCCACCAGATCTTAACCCACCCCCTCCCTCTGCAGCTACTCTAGTTTCTTTACTCAATGCACTTGGCCAATGAGCACCAGGATCAATGCCCACTGACTTCTGGGGGTGCCACCACTTTCTTAGTGGGCTACCCTCGTGACTGACAATGGATCCCACACAGCCAAGTTTTGCAGGGCCTTAGGATGGGCTCTGGCTCCTCACCTCCAGACCCCCATTGTGGCCAGGCTCTGACAACATCCTGCACAGCACAGCTTGAAGCAGCTGGACCATCGCCAGTACTGAGGCCATCGCTGCTTCCTGCCAGAGCCTCCTAGCTCTCCAGCCCTGCCAGGAGTGCTGTCCCAAGGTCCTGCCTCAGGTTATGAAGGACGACGTCTACGCAGCAGTTAAGGAAGCAAGGGTTAACCTCCCCTTGGAGTCCCATCATGGTCTTCTTTTGTCCTCTCCCCCCAAGCAGAGCTCTCAAAGGGAAGGTGCCTGAGAACAGAAGGATCTTCCCCAACTCTAAAGACTGCACTGCAAAAGGGGCAGGACACAAATCTGGGTCAAACCTGATCTGCTTTATTCAGATTAGTCTGGACAAAGCATGACATTAACAAGCAAAGAACCCAAATGCCCTTTACCTAGGGGTCCATCACATCTGAAAAGAAAAGAAAAGAAAAGCAGTAACAGTCTCCCAGCCTCACTGCACACCCCCCAGGAGCAGCAGCCAGAGCTGAGGTCCAGGCACCAGTTAGTGTCCCTGCTTATAAGTAAATCTGCTTCAGAGAAGAAGGGGAGGAAGGGAAGGAAGGAAAAGGAGAGAAGAAGGAAAGGAGGGAGGAAGGAGAGGAGGGAGAGAGGAAAGGAGGGAGGAAAGAAAGGAGGAAGGGAGGAAAGGAAGAATGGAGAGAGGAAAGAAAGGAAGAAAGGAGGAAAGGAAGAAGGGAAGGAGGAAAGGAAGAAGGGAAGGAGGAAGAAAAGGAGGGAGGGAGTGAGAAAAAGAGGGAGAGAGGAAAGAAAGGAGGGAAGGGAGGGCAGAAGGGAGGAAAGGAGAGAAAAGAGGAAGGGAAGAAGGGGGGGGGGAGGGAGGGAGGGAGGAATCATCTTGGAGAAGAATCGTACGAGAGCACTAGCCTGGGCATCACAACATCTCCGATCCAGTCCTGGCTCTAATCTGTTACTTGTTATCTAACCTGGGGCAAATCACTTTGTTTGTCTCAGCTGCTACTGAAGGGAGGCCACCTGGGCTAACAGACAGAGCCCAAGCCTTGGAATGCCAGGTTGTCCAAGCTGGAAGGCAGTTTGGAGTTCATCTGGTCCAAAAATTCCTAGCTCTAATGCACGTCTGAGCCTCAGAATCTTCATCCATAAAATGGGCACAATCCTTATACTCCAAATGTGCAGAGCTCCTGGGTCTCTACCCACATTTCACTTGTGCTCTGAAGGATGCTCTCTGAAGGTGACTCACCTCATGGGGCTCTCATGTAGAAAGGGCTTTGGGAGCTGGGATTAGCAGATGCAAGTCCGCCCTCACAGAGCTGTTGGGAAGGAGGGGTTTTGTCAAGGGTAATAGGAGCGTCACTGGATAACTGCTGAGGAGAGGCTTTGGACTACAGAGCTCTGGGTAGACAAAGAGGCTGGCACTTGTACCTACATGTTCCTTTGTAAAAAACATGGGCCTCCTGTCCTGAGCCCTCCACTCTCCCCAGCTGGCCTACCTCACTCAACTACCATCAGCAGAGCCCTCCTAAAACTCCTGGTGCCAGGAGATGACTGCAGAAATGGCAGAGAATTGAGAAAGACCTCCTGACTGCACTGGTGGTCTTGGACCAATCTACAGTGAACTGGCCAGGGATTTCCCCTGGGTGCTTCTCTAGCAATGATCTTGGCTGTTTCTGGATAATATTTCAAACTGTGGCTCAATCCACACAGAGTGGAGAAAGAACAAGCAAAGAAACACTCACCAGGAACACCAGGGGCCTGCACTGTTCAAGGCCTGTCCTGGCTCACCAGTCAGAACCAGTTATCCCAGCAATGACACGGTACAAAGATGGTAAGTCCTAGGCTGTTTACACATAGGGACAAGAGGTGCAGGCTATTGTCTTTCTTCAAGTATGTAGAAGGGGAACCTTAGCACCCCTTGCTAGGAAAGCAAGGACAAGGAAATATCAGAGTGAACAGTAAATGAACATTAAATACTCAGCTGGTCAAGAGGAGAAAACAGTAAGGCAGGAAAGGATCTTACCTTGGGAATGAAAAGTCAGCCATGTCTTCCAAAGTCTCATCCAGAAAGATTTGGTCATGCCAAACCCAGGGAAAATCCAGCAGGAGGCAGAAAATCATTCTAGCTCCTAAAATGCATTGAGACATCAGCAAGGCCAAGCTTTTCCTGACCCAGGGGTGCCGGCAAACAAACCACAACTACTTGGTGAAGCCTGGAAGACGTATCGCCCCTGTGGAGCCCATGATCCCATTCGGGTGAGCCTTACACTTCAGCATAACACCAGGTCCAAGAAAACCAAAACCAAAAGAGCTTTTGCTCGCTGCCTGGCAGCATCCCTCTCACCTGGCAGCCACCCCTCCCACCTAGAATCCCGTGCAATCAGAGAAACCCCAAAGTCCTCTAGCTGCCAGAGGGCCAGGGGCTCCTTGGGCACAGGATGTCCTGAGTATTCTCCACCACCTGTTACAGGAGAAAGAACACTATGCTGACTGGTAAGGCACCACCCACCTAACTAGGACCAAAGAAAAATTCCGTATATATCCGTTTGCATCACCTGGGTTCTCTAAAGGCTGAAGGGGGAGCGTAGGGAGGGGGAACACGACTGCCTGCCTCCAGAAGTTGGTAGAACTTATAAAGAGACATTGCTGCAGCTCACTAGAAAAAAAAGAGCTATCAGAGCTGCTGAAAAACAGATGGGGCTGTGTTGGGAGTGACGAGCTCCCTTGTCACTGGAATCAGAGGCTGGATGGCCAGCCATCAGGGTGTGTGAGAAGAGGCCTCAGGCTTCAGAAGTGCCTGAGCAGATAACCTCTGAGAGCCCAAGAGGGGATCAGGAGAGGGCACCAATTTGGCCATCTGTGACCTACCAGGAGGGTTCTCCGGGAGGGGGCAAAAAGAGGAGAGGGAGAACAAAAGACCAGACCCTAAGGCCTGAATCTGAATCTGTGTTCTGGGAGCAAGGAGAACAGGCAGCAGAAAGGGAGAACAAAGAAAGCATCCCCAATCCAAGCCATCGAGTCAGGCATTGCTCCCAGGAGCTTTACAGGGAGTAGATCACCAGGGGGAGAGGCCGTCCTGGGTATTCCCACTGAAGGGCCTCTGATCCCATGTCCCAGGGCAGCAGCAGATGTATAGGGCCTTGGCAGAATCAGACAAAAAGTTCTCATGTTCTCAAATTTCAGCCAAGGCCTAATTCATAATTAAAGCAAAGAGGAGAAGGTTGAGAGGCTTATGGGCCTTGTCCCCAGCAACTATGATTTGTCATTCTGCCCCCAGTCCAAGATCAACACCTTTTGTTTAAAAAAAAAAAAGACTCAAATGTGTTCTATGCCAGTGTGCTCGCACGACTACTAGAATTCATGGGGGGGCGGGGTGAGGAAGAATAGGAATCTGACCCCCAGTGACCACCTTCAGGGGTTGGGGAGCCGAACACAACTGTCAGATGCCCCCTCATGCTCCCGGTGTGACGAAACCATCTAATCCCATCACCGCAGAAAACAGAGCACCAGACTGAACAAAATGTAATCCATTCCAAATACGAGCCGACATCTTTAAAAACTAAAGTCCTGAGTCACCATTATATCTATCTACCCATTCCACAAGAGAAAGCTTTTGCATGACGTTATGGAGAGTTCATGACAGAGATGAGGGTTTATGAATTACAGTGCTCCGGAGGACTGCAGGCAGACAGGAGAGAACAGAAGTGAACCATTGGACACCCGCCCCCTCAGAGCAAAGCCCCAGGCTTCCCCACCCCCCAGGCTCTCAAATTCAGATACCTTGATTGCTTTTTCAGTTAAGTGTCTTGCTAGTTTGAATCTGTCCAATTTGGGGGAAGGAGATGGTTCTTGATCAATTTCTTGGTTTACTTCTACAAAAGAAAAAGAAAAGCCATTACCAACCAGAGCCATGACCGCATCGGTTCTCTGTCAATGCACAGGCTTTCTCTTTTTTGCTCCCCTAAACATCCCCTGGGATAAATAAAGGCCACACTTGGAGGAAAGGAAGGCCCTGGGCCCTTGGGGCAGTGGGATGGAAGATACTGAGCCACCCCCCCCCCCCAAGAATGAGAAATAAGTCAACAGCCACTGAAATGTAGCTATGGTAGCAAAAGACAACAGATAACTTGGCTCTAATTTCCAGTCAGTTCTCTTCCCATCTTGGTGACATTGGACAAGCTACTTCCCCCACTCAGTTTCCTCATATTTAAAATGAGGGAATTGGGCCAACTCACTCCTAAGATTCCTTCTGGTTACAAATTCTGGAAGCCTATGAATCTCTAGACATTGATCATGACATAGAAATCCGGTCATAGAGAAACCTCACTACAGTTGGTATTATTCTCTGTTTTGTTTTTTATGTTTTATTAGGCAATGGGGTTAAGTGACTTGCCCAAGATCACGCAGATAGTAAGTGTCAAGTGCCTGAGGCCAGATTTGAACTCAGGTCCTCCTGACTCCAGGGCCAGTGCTCTATCCATTGCACCACCTAGCTGACCTGAGTTGGTATTATTCTTAATCCTAAAGGACCATGGGGTAAGGAAGGGCCTAGCTTTTTAAACATTTTCCACACGAGGCAGTCCACGAGCCACCTTCATCTTATTGGTGCTACCACCAGCTCCTTTAATTTCTACTCCCTATGAAGTCCAGCAGGAACTAGAAAGGAAGATTTCCCTTCCTCTACCCACTCTGTGACTCAGAAACTCCAGGCACTATCTCATGATCCACCCCCAGCTCCCAGAAAGTGTTGGGAGCCAGAAAAGCACAAGGTTTTGAGTGACTGGGGTTTCATGCTTTGGCTAAAAGTTTTATATATAAGCATTCTTGTGCAAATGTATCAGAAAGGCATAATCATTCCAACAGAATGGCACAAAGGTATTTCCAAAGCCAATCCAATTGTCCACTTAATGATTACTGAGAGTTATTATGTACATGTAGGTAGGAAAACAATCTAATATGCTACCAGACACCTTTTCCCCTAACAAGTTAATAAATTAATTTGTAAATACAAACTATTTTCTTCTCTTCTTTCTTCATCAGGTGAAACTGTTGAAAGTCTTTTTTCAACATAATTCTGATCCATTCTGGCTGTAATTAATAATTCATCATTTCTGCCTTTCCTGGCTCTTTTTCCTGCATTAGGAAAGAAATCATTTATATGACTAGGTTAAAAAAAAATCAGCCCCAACAGCTTGAGTTTTAATCATTAATACCTGGAAGGACAAAGCGAAGAATCCTGGAAGATTCCCCAGATTAATTTTCCTTCCACCGTTGACTCCTCCCTCTCCTCCAAAATCACTCCTCCCCTCCTTCTCCTTCACACTCTCATCTCTCTAGTTTGGAGTTCTCATGGCAGGATTATCGCGATGTTCTCACTGGTGGCCAGCTCTCATCCTCTGTCCTGTCTAACCCATCTCAGACGAGGGAAAGCTGGCAGGCCGTCAAAATCGGCTAACGAACATTCAAAAACTCCTCGAATGCCCGTAAGATAAAACGCCAGCCCCTCAGCCTAGCATTTAAGGCCTTCCAAAACAATCCACCTCTCCACGCTTATCTCTCAGTTTCCCCGAATGGCCTGGCACCGGCACAGGTTCCCCAAGACTGGGTCACTCCCTTGATGAATCTACCCGTTGAAGCCCGTTCTCTTTTTGAGAAACAGCTCAGACACCACCTCCTCTAGGAAGCTCTCCCTCCGGGTTCTTCTCACCCTTGTCTTAGGCCCCTCCTTAGCCCCCATCCCGCACTCTACCTGGGCTACAGTTTTCCTGTGCACAGAGGCCCTCTCTACCGTCCTTCCCCACCCGCCCCCGCGCTTTGCCTCCAGTGGGAAGGTCCTTGATGGGGGCGAGGACTTGCTCCGTTTTCGTCTGTTTCGCCAGCGCCTCGCCCGGCGCAGTGCCCATAGCAGGCAGGACTCAGTTAAGGTTTAACCTGAACGGACAGCTCCTCACCAAAAATAGAAAAAGTTTTAACAGCATTTATTAAAGCACCTCTTTGGGCGCAGCGGCGGTTTTCCCACTTGGCTGATTCTGGTCGCCAAGGAGCCGCGAAGATTTCCGTCGGGGGCACACCTCGCCCCCTACCCTGGCCCTGCATTTAACGCAAAGGTCATGAGCGCCTCGTGGGCCATCGGTGAGAGCTGAATGCACGCTCAGCTCCGGGACGGGACGCGACGCTCCTGGGGCTAAAAAGGCCGTTTCTTTAGAAAGGCGGGCGGCCAAATCCAGGTCCGAGCGCACTGAGGCTCGGCCCGGGGTCCTAGGCGGGCTCCCCACTCCCCGCGCACCAGGTATGGGCGGACCCCTCCGGAAGAGACCTAGCGCTGCCTGTGTACCCCCGTGGCACTATGTACCCCCTGCAGGTGCAGCCTGGCCCCGGGCTCCGAGGCTGGGCGGGGCCGTTCCCAAGCTCTCTCTTCTACCCGGGGGGGGAGGGGGACGGAGAGCCCTGCCCCCCGCCCGCTCTTTCAGGGGGCAGAGCCCGAGCCCGGGGCCGGGGCCGGGGCCGGCCGCCTGGCTCACCGTGGGTCCCCGGCGCGGGGGTTCTGGCGGAGGCAGTGTTCCCCTGGGCAGATCGGGCGGGCCTGGGGGCCGCCTCGCCGCCCCCCCCCCACGAGGCCGCCTCCGCCACGCCGGCCGCGGTTGCCCGGGGCAACCCAGTCGGGCGGGGCGGCGCATTGTGCCGCCCCGAGCGGCGGCGGCGGCCGGGAGAGCGACGGCCCCGGGCGCGGGGTGGGGCTGCGGGGCCGCGGGGGCGGCGGCGGGCACGGGGCGGCCCGAAGGCCGTTGTGCGGCCGGGGCAGGCAGGGAGGGAGGGAGGGCAGCGGAGGCCAAAGCCGAGCCTCGGCCTCCAAGCCGGGCCTTCCAGCCGCGGGTGCAGAGGCCAGCGATCCGAGCGCCCCGAACGAGCTCCTGGGGCCCCTCTCCACTCTGCTGGGCACTTGGCCATTTGTCAGTGGTCAGCGCGGGGCCCGACACGTCGGAGCTTTCCGGACTGAATCCTGATCGCACGTCCGCAGTCAAACGCACATTGTGCGATCGCCCCTAGTGTTTCCCCTCCCCGGCCCGATCTGCTGCAGCCCCTTCTTAGCTCTTCAGTGGCGTTCTTCTCATGTCGCAGAGAGCCAACCAGCTGCTCAATCTTCCGGACTCGGGACCACCGTTCTGGGTCTGCCACTCCTTCTCCTGGGTATTCCCAACAGTCTCCTACGCATCCCTGCCCGCAGTTTCTCCACAGAGTTCACGAACACGGATGTGTAACGACTTCCCAGGATGTCACCTCATACTTTACTAAGAAAATTAAGGTCGTTTACCTTGAGTTCCTCCTCTCCTCCTCTACATCTCAAAATGCTTGGCCAGATTCTGATGCAGAGGTGGCCTTTGCCCTTGCCAAGGACAACCGTTTTGCTTGTACCCTCTCCAGGTTATCTGAACCTTCCGTCTCTCCAAGACACTCTCCGTAGCCGCCACCAAACCCCCTCGGGTCTCCACCAGGCCACCGTGCCTTCAAACGATTGTCTGTGTGCTCTCCTTTCTTCCCCTTTCTCTCCTCTCTATCACCTCTCTGCCCCTCGCATCCAGGTTTCCACCTTCATGACTCACCTGAAACTTCACTCCTCTCTGGATTTCCGTGATACTTCCTGCTCTCCCTAGAGAACACAAGCTTCTTGAGGACAGGAACTGGCACAAAAGTGCCTGGGCTTAATAAACGCCTGGTGGTTAGTCAATTCATTTCCTGGACTATAGTGCAAAAGTCCATGTCACTTCCTTGAGGACGAAGCTCTACTTCTCTTCCCACTGCTTCCAGGATAAAGTATGACTGACTCACTGGGGTCCTACTCCCCATGACCCCGTTTGGAGTTTTCTTGGCAGAGATGCTGGAGTGGTTTGCCATCTCCTTTCCAAGCTCATCTTACAGATGAGGAAACTGAGGCAAAGTGAAGTAACTTGCCCAGGGTCACATAGCCAGTAAGTTTGAGGCCTGATTTGAACACAGGAACACAAGTCTTCTTGACCGCAGGCCGGGCCACTCTATCCCACCAAGCCATCTAACCCTCCTGCTTGGCATTTAAAGCTCTTCATGATCTTGCTCCAGGGCCCATCTTTCAAGCCCATTACCCACACCACACAATCCAACTTGCTGTGGCCAAATGCACCCTGTCATACCCTATCTTGAAACATTTACCCAAGCTGTCCCCCAGCCCCAGAATGTTATCCCTCCAAACCATCTCCTTTTCCCCTTCAGAAAGGTTCAATTCAAGAGCCTACTTTGAAGAGGCCTAATTCCCTCCACCCCAAATCACTTTGTATTTGTTTTGTATCCTTCAGTTATCGGTAACCAGGTTTTATCCCAAGTAGGCTTTAAGCTCACTTATTTTTGTATTTGTATCTCCAGCACCTGGCATAACAATACTCAGGAAGGGTTTAAGAAATACTTGATTGAAAACAGAGTGAAAATTGTGTGCCTAGAAGTATAATGGAAAATAAGAGCTGAAAAGCTCACTCAGACTGAATGCACCAAGTTTGGAATTTGGACTTGGGAAATAGGGAACAGCTGGTGGTGGAGACACTGAGTCAGGGGAGAGAGAGAGAGAGAGAGAGAGAGAGAGAGAGAGGAGTGAATCAGGAGGCAGAATGCTGAGGACCTCACCCTATGGCAGTGACTCAGGCTGAGCCTGGGTGGGCATGTAGACAAAAGGATGGATGGCGATGACTTCTGGAAGGAAAGAATCAACAGAGCCTGACAACCAACCAAGATGAGGCATCCAGGATGACACCCGGGTCAGGGAGCTGGCGACTGAGAGAACGGTCCTCAGGTCAGGACATGGAAAGGGATAATTCTGTTCCAGGTATGTGTCAGAAGGCTGTCAGACTGCCACCGGATGGATCCAGGTCCCAGTCCCTCGTGAAAACTGTCTAGGAAGCTGCAATCCATGATGGCAGAGGGAACACTCTCATCCAAAACCATGGATTCTTTTCAATGAGCAGCATTTATTATGAAAACAACATAAAGATACACCATAACAGAAATAGGAATTAAAAGAAACGATTATCTTGGAGATGGCGATTACACTACTTTATTGAGCTTTCTAGCTCACATGCAAGCAGAGAAATGATGAAATTACTACTAAAGACATGATCCCCAGGTCCTAAGCTAGTTATCAACTCTTCTGTGGGGCAACTCCCTACAAGTAAGTAACATTATCTCCATTCTGACACACCTCCTGGTAACACCCACCTCCCTAGGAGCTCAGAGCCTGACACAAGGCAGCAAGGGTAAGAAAACAGCTTTAAGTAGGGTCGATGATGCCTCAATTCCATAACAAATTCCATTAAGCAGCCAAAGGAAAAAGAATTAGTCACGACTTCTGATACCGATGACTAACATTGGACAAATCTGTTGAGCCTTGAATCATGACTTTGGGTTGCAACTCAGGGCCAGAAACTTAACAAAGAGAGGGCACACCTCAGGTCTTGGAAGACCTTAACAGTTTACTCAGGATTCATTTTCAAGGGACTCCAAAATGAAAATAGATCCTAAAGGCGAGTCTCCATATGCCTACTGAACACAAAGTACTTTACTGAGTAGCTTGCTTTCCAAGGATCATTAATAATGCACGTGCCCTTTAGAACCTTTTGGAAGTCACCTTAGAAAATAACTGAACTAAGAAGCAAACAGAGCATAAGCCTTGGCAGAGCCTCGATTCCTGGACTGGGAAACACCAATCCAGGGAACCCATCCACACGTGTCCCAAAAGTCCAAATGCAGTTCTTGGTAGCTTAAACCCTGCAAATGTGACTGATGACAAACCATCTGGCCCACACCATGCAAATATCAGCACCAAATGACGTATGTAAGTGGGACCAGAAAGCCATCACCAAGCCTGATGCCCTACCCTTGCTTATGGGCCTCGTTGGCATTATTTCACCAGCCCAGACAACATCCCTGCCAGATAGCAAAAAAAGGAGATACGGTTACCTCCATTTTTCCTTCTGGTTGTTGAACTGCTTAAGGGGAAGGATGGGAAGATAGAAATGAGACTAGCCGAGGGAGAATCACCCTCCTGGGTTGGGAAAGGACTGAAGGATGGTGATACTGTACTATCACTATGAAAGAGCAACGTGTTGGCAGGACTGTTCAAGTGATTACCAGCCGTAAGCTTAAGAAGGCCTTCAGAAAGTTCAAGAGGGTCTTTAAACCTCTGTATCCCAGACGAGGCAGGAAGGTTTACAGTAAAGACTGACTGGGAAAGGCTTAACTAAATGAGATCTAGTGGGAAAAGGCAAAGATAGTAAGGGGAAACTCTGCTTGATAAACGTATTATTCATTGAGAGCAAAGGGAAATCTAGGAATAGAACTTTTTGGACTTTCCAAAAGATTGTGACATGGTTCCACACCAAAGACTGGCTGTCTGCCAAAAAAAAAAAAATGAATCATGAGGAGATGGGGAACCTTTTTTCTTCACAGATAGGGAACTGGCTTAAACTCAAGAAACAAAGGGTCATTATAAAGTGACCTGTCCCTGCAAGGAGCTCTCTACTTTATGAAGTTCCTCACAGATGGGGGCAGGACCATTTGTTACATGACTATCCACAGACCAGAGGAAAAAGGCTCACCTAGCAAGGTCTCCAGCTTCGAGGGATTCTTCTGGATAACGATTTACCAAGCTGAAAGGGATAAACTATAACAACAACTTTGCGAATCTGTTCATGAGGACCTGGAAAATGGTATATGGGCTCCAATGTGGGAAAAAATAATGCAGATTACATGTGTGAAATGGGATCTGAGCTGTGATGTACAAGAATAAGACCAAGATATCAAGAACCATTCCCCCCAGACCTGGGCCCAGTATACTAGGACCAAGAAGAAAACTGGAAACAAAACAGAAAATGTTAATGTCCTCTTGCGCCCAATTATGCAGTATCCATATCTGGAATGCCATAAGTAGTTCTAGGGATGGGGGGGGGGAAGAGAGAGAGACAGAGAGGCAGAGACAGAGAGACAGAGAGAGAGAGAGAGCTACAATGACCTAGGGAATGAGGACAGACTAAAAAGACTGGGAACTCTTCAGTTTGTTAAACTAAGCACTCAGAGGGGAAATGACTAAAATCTATTAAATTACCAGCTTCAATAAAAGTAGACTTCCTCACCAAATCTCGGCAGACTAGAACTGAGACTGGAAGGGTATACTCTGAAGCTTGAAAAGAAACAGAAGGAAGTCCTACCTTACAGAGAACGCAGCACAGTTACTGAATGCCATCATTTGAAGAGGTGCTACAAAGGGCTGATTTTTAAAAGGTTTGGATAAATTCATGGATGATGGACTTATAATGGAATACGAAGGAAAACTGATTATATTTGGGGAACATCCTTATATCCCAAAACCCATTGAGAAAGACAACAATGACCTTCCTCAACGTATTCCATGGTAACTATGGAATAGAATACCGTGTTGAATTAACAATGGGTCTGATCCAGTAAGACAACTCTCAGGTTCTAATAATCATACTTTCAAGACAACTGAGAAGAATGAATTCTCTAATATTCCAAAACAACAGAATGATCAAATGGATGCCTTATTCAAGACTAAACTGCCATAATATATTCTATACTATATAGCTCCATCCTCATCATCCCATCTTATCCCGGACATGGTGAGCCTCACTTTACACAATCAAGTAAGTACGAAGATGAATACGGTATATTAGACAGGTAGCAAGACATAGCCCAAACACTGCTGAAAATGACAAAATCCAACACCGGGACATAGGGAAGCCTCCACCCAGCTGCCCCCTCCACGCCGTTCAGGTCACTGCGCCATCTGTACCACAACAGCTTTCCAGGCTTTGTCTTTGTCAAACTCCTTCAGTGTGTTATTGGATACCTAGAGAGCAAAATATTTTAGCAGTTATTTCATCGAATATTTACTGTACTTAAAACTGAAATATTAAACTAAGTTTCATTCCTTAAATTACATCTAATACCCAACTTTGAATGTAACCATGTGATCAATGTTTGATATTTTAACTTAGTTAAAATTAGTTCTTTTCCTCTAGTGAAAAGGCAAAGGAAAAAAATCAGGCACTTGAATGACTATGGAAGCGAGTCTATCCATGGAGTTTCCTAACATTCTCATGAACCAAAATCCTACTGTAATCTCCTAGCAACTTTATACACTATTGTCACTCATCTTTTCTATCTCTCTCAAAAGTACAATCCAGTCCCATCCCTGAGTGCCCCTCCATCCTGCATCCCCAGTGCCCCTCCATCCTACATCCTCAGTGCCCCTCCATCCTGCATCCTCAGTGCCCCTCCATCCTGAACCCCTAAGTTTTGCAACTACTTCAAACAATAAGCAAGTGTAGAAAGGGTCAGGCAGGGTCTCAAGTATCACCTCATATGGTTGGATTTCAGAAAATCAGCTTATTAACAGCTATGACCCCACATCTCCCTTCCCCTTCTCAGGTGAATTCCCTGAGAAAGTAGCGTCTCCTTCATTTGGTGCCCATCCCCCTCTGCTCTCACGCTCTTTGATGCCTTCTATAATCTGGCTTCAGAAATGGTCACTCAGCTGAACTGCTCTTTCCAAACTTACCCAGGATCTTCTACTTGCTAAATCCAATAACGTCTTTTCAACACTCATCCTTTATGAGGACCTCAACCACAGTATCTGTCAATGTTGACCCGCTTCTAGATGCTCTGGTCTCCTCCCTGGGTTGTCATCACTCCTCCTTCCCATGCAGCCACACCCCACGTCTCCTCTGCTGTTTCTTCATCTGTGCCATGCCTGGGGTTGCCCCCTCAGCCTCTGTTCTGGACCCTCTTCTCTCCTCTATCTCTGTTCTCCCTTAGTGATATCATTAACCCTGATGGGTTCAATATTATCTCACTGTACATGATTCCCAGATCCATTTATCTGGCCTCATCACTCTCCTCGAGCTCCAGTCCCACATCACCAAATGCACACTGAACAGTCTGAAGAGCCATCCTGTAAAAAGAACTCGTGATCTTTCCCCCCACCCTCTCCTCTTCTGAACATCCCCATTGCTGTGAAGGACACTGTCATCCTTTCCAGCTACCCAGGCTCACAACCTCAGGGTCATCCTAGACTCTGGTTCATCTCCTCACATTTATAATTGCCAAATCTTGTCATTTCTTTTTTTATGCTATCTTGTGAATAACTCCCCTTTTCTCCACTCATGTGACCACCCCTCAGCTCAGGCCTTTGCCACTTCTGGTTTGCATTATTACAATAGATTTCTTTCTAACTGCTCTGTCTCCCCGCTCCAATCAACCCTCCAGTTCTCAAAGTGATTCTTCTAAAGCACTCCTCTATGTCACACCCCTGCCTAACAAATTCCAGTGGCTCTCTAATATTTCCAGGACCAAATATTCAAATATAAAATTCTTTTGTTGGGAAAAGTTCTTCCCAACCTGGCCCCTTCCTGCCTCTCCAATTTTACATTCTACCCCCCTCATACGCTCTAGTCAAGCCCAAACTGGCCGACTTGAGGTATGTCAGGCATGACTCTCCAGCCCTGATCTCCATGTCTTTGCTCCGGCTACTCCCAGCTGGTGGAATGCTCTCCCTCCTCTCCACTCTCCATCTTCTCCTCCCTGGCTTCCTGGAAGAAGCAAGCAAGCGTCATCTGCCCCAGGCACCACCCCCTCTACAGCCCCTACATGTAGTTTGCATTTCACTTGTGGGTCCCGGCTTGCCAATGTGGTTTCTCCTATGAGAACGTAATCTCGTGGGCGGCAGGGACCAACACTTAGCCCAGTGCCTGTTAAACAGTCAGCGCTTAATAAGTGTTTAATGATTGACGGATTAAAAAGTTACAGCTCTACTTCACCGAGGAAGCAAAGGGAAGAACGCTTTCCAGGCCAAATCACAGGGTTAGAAATGCTTTCCTGATTCCATTACACAGAAACCCAAAGTCACCAAACAGAAAACACTCACCTCCACGGTTTGGTAGTCTTGCTTGTTTATCGGGGAGCCCCCCCAAGATGAGTCTTGCAACTTCATCTTAATTTTGTAACTAACACATTGTATGACGGTGCCAATGGTAAGGAAAGCCTGGATCAGCAGCAGCAGCATTAGGAGCAACAGAAGGACGTCGTAGGATTGCTGAAATGTACACGGCCAAGAAAAGACTGAGTGATGAAGCTGAGGAAGCTACAAAATTATGCTCAGGCAAAAAACAGACTGGGGCCTATAAAACCCAGTTTCTCAGGCACTATGCAGGAGTAGGGCTTTGGGCCTTCGCGTTTGTTTCCCTCAATTTTAAAATGAAGGCACTCGACTCTATAAACTCTAATGTCATGTCCAGAATGAGACAATCCTGTGGTCCAGCAAAGCCACGAGAAACAATTAGCCAAGAGCTACCCAGCTGACCAATCAACAGACAAAAGTGAGAAGAAGTGGGCTCCCGAGATCATAGACGTAAAGCATAGGAGGGCTGTCAGAGCCACTGGTCCATGGCCACCCTAGTCCAGCACAGCCTAGCGCATGTTTCATCCATACAAGACTAGGGGGGACAGAGATTACGTCCTACCGAAGTTTACATTGAAAATAACACCCACTCTGTGAAGACATCTCTGCTTCCCACCCTACCCCGTCCTCCACCACTCTAGTGGATCAATTCCCTGGTCCCCTTCCAAACTCACAGCATATTTTGTGACTCTCTAATACACTTTTAATGGAATACGCTATATTACAACTATCTGTCTTACACCCTGTAAGCTCCCTGTGGTCAAGTGAGACAATATCTGTAAAGCACTTGGCCAACTTTAGAGTGCCCTCTAAGACGTAAGTTGTTGCTGTTACTGTTGTTATATCTGTATTGTACTGTCACTTTGTATCTCTGATAGCACCCAGCAGATCCCTCCAAACAGCAGGCATTTAATAAATGTCTGTTGATTTAATGAATCTGTTTAAAAACGGTTTTGTTTTTCAAAGAAGAAATGTATGCTACCCATCCACCATAAGACAAAATGTTTCAAATTACTAATAAAAAGAAAAAGGAAACTTTTAAAGCTCTGAGGTTCTATCTCTCCTACCCATAAGACCGGCAAAGATGAAAAAAGTGGAAAATGTCAACTGCTGGAGGGGCAGTGGGGGCCGGGGGAGACAGTAAGGCTGGTGGAGCCAGGCATTGGTTCGGCCAGCCTGAAAAGCAACTGAGAATTATATTCCCAGAGTCACGAAACCATGTGCCCCTCTGATTCGGTAATACCACTACTAGTGTCACCCCAAAGAGAGAGAAACAGTCCTCATTGGTACAAGGATGTTCATAGCGGCATTTTTGTTGATGCCAATAAGTGGAAACAAAGTGGGTGCCCATCAAGCGGGCATTGGTTGAACAATAGTATGTGAATGAAATGGAACATGATTGTGCTGTAAGAAATGAGGAATATGACAGATTTAGAGAACCCATCCATTTCATTTTTGTAAGCAACATGCACAGCAGAACAGCATCTTTTGTTATTCCCTGAAAAGTAAATCAACGACATACATACTTTGATTGCTGGTGGATAATCTTTAAAGATGGCAACAATTTTCATTATGCTGAAAGATAAATATCCAGAAGCCGTGAACAATAATGGAGAAGTGATGCTGCATACTGCAATCAGAACTTCGACCTAGTCAAAGCAAGACAAAGACGTTGCATTTTAAGTTCAGGACTCTCTCCGCACACCGAAGGACAGACAGACACCCTCCTGATGAAGGAATGAACAAGCAGCAGCAGCGGTGATCACGGCAGTCCCGGCCCTGCTTGCACCTGCTCTGCCTTCATTTCTCACTAGCAGGTTGGACCATCCTCTAATAAGGCAGACCAGCGGCTATTCTTGCCTGAGGAGGGGGCTTGGGGCGTTGGGGGCTGCCTGTCAGTGATTTCCCCCTTTCGGTTTAACTGAGCTAGCTGGCCTTGCTCAATCAAGCCTTTCTCGCTTGGTAGAACCCAGTAGTATCTCTACTGGCATTGCATTTGAGAACCAGGCCACGGCCATGCCAGGTGTCAGAGGTGGAGAAATACTAAAACAGGCTTCCAACATCAAAAACAAAGACAAATTTCATTGAATTCAACACAGAAAACATTTACTAAGCCATCTGCTTCTTTACAAGGAACTGTGAATAAAAACGGAGCTGACATCTTACTGGAATACTGCCTTAAAGATTCTACCCCGACAAGGTTCTCCCATATATGCGGCACAAGCTGGTTCCATCAAAGGTCAGAACTACATGGCTGGGGACAGTCTGAGCCCTCCCCACCCCTTCTGTTACTTCCAGAAGTTCTGTGTCTGGGAACATCTGTGCATCCTGACAACTCACACAGCTGGTCCATCAGGACGTGTAACTTGGATGAACACTCCCAATGGCCCATGAACTAGGCCCAGAATTGAACAGGAGAAAGAGAGAAGGCTAGATTCCAGTTGGGAAAGAGAAAGATCACTTTTAATGATCTCAGGCTCTGGGAACCTCTCAAAATGCCAATGTTCTTCTGGGGATTCCGTATAGGTAAAATCATTACCGTATAGGTAAAACCCTAGTCAGAGAGGAATTAGTAGAGATGTGCATAATGACCACAAACAGGCCATAACATATTAGGAACGATAAATTACATGCAGAAATATGAAAGATACCCACATTTAGGGAAGAAGTGGGCCAGTCATATGACAAAAATAAAAGATAGGGGCAGCCAGGTGGCACAGTACATAGAGCACTGGCCCTGGAGTCAGGAGGACCTGAGTTCAAATGTGGCCTCAGACATAGAACAACTCACCAGCTATGTGACTCTGGGCAAGTCACTTCACCCCAAATCCCTCACAAAAAAAAGTAAAAGACAAAACATGGATAGCCTACACATCACACTGGGACCCACGTAAGATAAGCCAACAGACAGAGATTTATTGAGTTCCAACTATGTGCCCAGGCACTGAACGAAGCACTGAGGACACAAAGAGAGGCAAAAACAGAATAACAGGAAAGACAACATGCAAACAACAACACACAAGATGAAGTGGACCTAATCTCAGAGGGAAGCCAGTAGCAAAAGGGAATCAGGAAAGGCTCCTTATTCTGAAAAGTGGGATTTTAGCTGAGACCTGAAGGAAGTCAGGTATGCCAGAAGGT